CCCCTAACTCTTCTGTCTTCCAACAAACTGAGGTTTAATTCCCGTAGTCTCTCCTCGTAGCTCATACCTCTCAGCTCGGGTACTAGTCTGGTGGCAAACCTTTGAACCTTTTCCATTTTAGTCTTATGCTTGACTAGATATGGACTCCATGCTGGTGCCGCATACTCCAGGATTGGTCTGACATATGTGGTATATAATGTTCTGAAAGATTCCTTACACAAGTTTCTAAAGGCCATTCTTATGTTAGCCAACCTGGCATATGATGCTACTGTTATCCTCTTGATATGAGCATCAGGGGACAGGTCTGGCGTGATATCAACCCCCAGGTCTTTCTCTCTTGCGGACTCTTGAAGTATTTCATCTCCCAAGTGATACCTTGTATCTGGTCTCCTGCTTCCTACCCCTATCTTCATTACATTACATTTGCTTGGATTAAACTCTTAACAGCCATTTGTTCGACCATTCCTGCAGCTTGTCCAGGTCTTCTTGAAGCGTCAAGCTGTCCTCCTCTGTCTTAATCCTTCTCATAATTTTGGCGTCGTCAGCAAACATTGAGAGGAATGAGTCTATACCCTCTGAGAGATCATTTACGTATATCAGAAACAGGATAGGTCCAAGTACAGAGCCCTGTGGGACTCCACTGGTGACTTCACGCTAGTCTGAGGTCTCACCCCTCACTGTAACTCTCTGCTTCCTATTGTTTAGGTACTCCCTTATCCACTGGAGCGCCCTACCAGTTACTCCTGCCTGTTTCTCCAGCTTATGCATCAACCTTTTATGGGGTACTGTGTCAAAGGCTTTCCGACAGTCCAAAAAAATGCAGTCCGCCCACCCTTCTCTTTCTTGTTTAATCTTTGTCACCTGATCGTAGAATTCTATCAATCCTGTAAGGCAAGATTTACCCTCCCTGAACCCATGTTGATGGGTTGTCACGAAGTCTCTTCTCTCCAGATGTGTTACTAGGTTTTTTCTCACAATCTTCTCCATCACCTTGCATGGTATACAAGTTAAGGACACTGGCCTGTAGTTCAGTGCCTCTTGTCTGTCACCCTTTTTGTATATTGGTACTACATTAGCAGTCTTCCATATTTCTGGTAGGTCCCCCGTTTCCAGTGACCTACTATACACTATGGAGAGTGGCAAACAAAGTGCTCCTGCACACTCTTTCAAGACCCATGGCGAGATTCCATCCGGCCCAACAGCTTTTCTCACATCCAGCTCCAATAGGTGCTTCTTGACCTCATCTCTTGTAATTTCGAACCTATCCAAGGTCACCTGGTTTGCTGCCACCTCTTCTAGTGCCGCGACATTTCCCTGTTCTATTGTAAAGACCTCCTGGAACCTTTTGTTGAGTTCTTCACACACCTCTTTGTCATTCTCTGTGTACCTGTCCTCGCCCACCCTAAGTTTCATCACCTGTTCTTTCACTGTTGTCTTCCTCCTGATGTGACTGTGTAGTAGCTTGGGTTCGGTCTTGGCTTTATTAGCTATATTATTTTCATACCTTTTCTCAGCTGCTCTTCTCACACTGACATACTCGTTCCTGGTTCTCTGGTATCTCTCTCTACTTTCTGGTGTTCTGTTATTACGGAAGTTCCTCCATGCCCTTTTGTTCTGCTCCTTTGCTTTCATACATTCCCTATTAAACCACGGATTCTTCCTTTGCTTCTCTGTTTTTTCCTGTTGGGCTGGGACAAACCTGCTTACAGCCTCCTGACATTTTTGGGTGACATAGTCCATCATGTCTTGTACGGACTTGGTTCCGAGTTCTGTGTCCCAATGTATATCGCATAGGAATTTATTCATTTCCTCATAGTTTCCCTTTCGGTACGCCAGCCCTTTGGTTCCCAGTTCTTTTTTGGGGGTGATAATTCCCAGCTCAACCAGGTACTCAAAGCTCAATACACTATGATCACTCATTCCCAAGGGGGCTTCCAACTTAACTTCCCTTATATCCGACTCATTTAGGGTAAATATCAGATCAAGCAAGGCTGGTTCATCCCCTCCTCTCATTCTTGTCGGTCCCTTGACGTGTTGACTTAGAAAGTTTCTTGTTGCCACATCCAGCAGCTTAGCTCTCCATGTGTCTGGGCCTCCATGTGGGTCTCTGTTCCCCCAATCTATCTTCCCATGGTTGAAGTCTCCCATGATTAGAAGTCTGGATCCGTTCCTGCTAGCCACAGAAGCTGCTCTCTCTATTATATTGATGGTGGCCAAGTTGTTTCTATCATATTCCTGTCTGGGTCTTCTGTCATTCGGTGGGGGGTTATATATGACTACTATTATAATTTTCTGTCCTCCAGTTGCTATGGTGCCTGAAATGTAGTCACTGAAACCTTCACAGTTCTGAATTACCATCTCTTCGAAACTCCAACCTTCTCTTAGTAGCAGAGCTACTGTGTGTGTGTGTGTGTGTGTGTGTGTGTGTGTGTGTGTGTGTGTGTGTGTGTGTGTGTGTGTGCACTCACCTAGTTGTACTCACCTAGTTGTGTCTTCAGGATCGAGCATTGACTCTTGGATCCCGCCTTTCGAGCATCGGTTGTTTACAGCAATGTCTCTGGTCCTATTTCCCTATCATGCCTGGTTTTAAAATTATGAATAGTATTTGCTTCCACAACCTGTTCCTTAAGTGCATTCCATTTTCCTACTACTCTCACGCTAAAAGAAAACTTCATAACATCCCTGTGACTCATCTGAGTTTCAAGCTTCCACCCGTGTCCCCGTCGTTCTGTTACTATTCTGTGTGAACATTTCGTCTATGTCCACTCTGTCAATCCCTCTGAGTATTTTATACTTTCCTATCATGTCCCCTCTCTCCCTTCTTCTTTCTAGTGTCGTGAGGCACAGTTCCCTCAGGCGCTCCTCATACCCCACCTCTCGTAACTCTGGGACGAGTCTCGTTGCAAACCTCTGAACCTTTTCCAGTTTCCTTATATGCTTCTTCAGATGGGGACTTCATGATGAGGCGGAATACTCTAAGACTGGCCTTACGTAGGCAGTGTAAAGCGCCCTAAATGCCTCCTTACTTAGGTTTCTGAATGATGTTCTAACTTTTGCCAGTGTAGAGTACGCTGCTGTCGTTATCCTATTTATATGTGCCTCAGGAGATAGATTAGGTGTTACGTTCACGCCCAGGTCTCTTTCTCGCGTCGTCAAAGGTAGGCTGTTCCCCTTCATTGTGTACTGTCCCTTTGGTCTCCTATCTTCTAGTCCCATTTCCATAACTTTACATTTACTCGTGTTGAACTCCAGTAGCCATTTCTCTGACCATCTCTGCAACCTGTTCAGGTCCTCTTGGAGGATCCTGCAATTCTCATCTGTCACAACTCTTCTCATCAACTTTGCATCATCTGTAAACATCGACATGTAGGACTCAACTCCTGTAGAAAATGTCGTTAACATATACTAGAAATAGAATTGGTCCCAGCACCGATCCTTGTGGTACTCCACTTGTTATTGTTCGCCAGACCGACTTCTCGCCCCTTACCGTAACTCTTTGGCTCCTTCCTGTTAGGTAGTTCCTTATCCATGCTAGGACCTTTCCCCCCCACCCCCTGCCTGCCTCTCGAATTTGAACAGCAGTCTCATGTGCGGTACTGTATCAAAGGCTTTTTGGCAGTCCAGAAATACGCAGTCCACCCAACCATCTCTGTTCTGTCTTATCCTCGTTATTTTATTATAGAATTCCAAAAGGTTTGTTAGGCACGATTTCCCTCTCCAGAACCCACGTTGATGTTTGCTCACAAACCTAACGTTCTCCAGGTGTGCAACCAGTCGTAGCCTAATTATTCTTTCCAGTATTTTACAGGGAATGCTTGTCAGTGATACAGGTCTATAGTTAAGTGCCTCCTCCCTATCGCCTTTCTTGAAGATCGGTACGACATTTGCCTTCTTCCAGCAACTGGGCAATTCTCCCGACATAAGTGACTCATTAAAGATCATTGCCAGAAGTACGCTGAGGGCCTGTGCTGCTTTTTTTAGCATCCACGGTGATACTTTGTCTGGTCCAACTGCTTTAGTTGCATCTAGAGTTGTCAACTGTTTCATTACCTCCTCTGCTGTCACCTCTATATCTGATAGTCTTTCATCTAGGGTAACCCCTTCCAACAATGGGAGCTGCTCAGGCTCGGTAGTGAACACTCCATGGAAACTGGCATTTAGTGCCTCGTAGATTTCCTTGTCACTTTCAGTATATGCCCTCTCTGCTTTCCTTAGTCTCGTCACTTGGTCGTTCACCGAAATTTTTCTTCTTATATGGCTTTGTAGTAACTTAGGTTGCTTTTTCGCTTTGATCGCAATATCGTTCTCATAGTCCCTTTCCGATGTTCGTCTTATGGTAATGTAATCGTTCCTAGCTCTGTTGTATCTGATCCTGTTGTCCTCTGTCCTTTGTCTTCTGTACTTCCTCCACTCCCGCCTGCTGGCCATTTTTGCTTCCAGACACTGTCTATTAAACCATGGGTTATTATATTCCCTCTTATTTTTTCCTTTTACTGTTGGTATAAATCTCTCTTCGGCCTCCTGGCATTTATGAATGACTAGTTCCATCAAATCTTGGACTGTTTTTCCTCTAATTTCTTCCTCCCACTGCACTTCTCCCAGATAGTCCCTTATCCTTCTGTAGTCACCTTTTCTGTAGTCAACTCTACTTTCCTAGATCTCTTGTCCCATGGTCATAAGTTTGAATTCCATCATGTAGTCAAAGACTAGGACACAATGGTCACTGGCCCCTAGAGGTTTTTCATGCTCTAAATTCTCGATGTCTTCTACGTTCTGGATGAAAATCAGGTCTAATAGGCTCGGTGCGTCTCCTCCTCTTTCCCTTGTGTCTTCATTCACATGTTGTGTTAGGAAATTCACACACACACATGTGTGTGTGTATGTCTCACCCCTGTGTGTGTGTGTGTGTGTCTCTCACCCCCTGTGTGTGTGTGCGTGTCTCACCCCTGTGTGTGTGTGTGTGTGTGTGTATATGTCTCACCTACTCCATGCCCGGGCAGGACGTGTGGGGGCGGGTACCAGATCCGTCATGTGAAGTGTGTGGACGTGCGGACGCAGGATGCAGCAGACACCTGCCTGAAGGATGTCAAGCCCAAACACAAAATGGCGTGCCACAACGACCGCTGCCCCAAGAACAGGCGAGGTAAGGCAGTTCACGTCTCTACTACTGTTTCTTTGTCACGGCGTAGTTACCCATGCAATACTGACGTGTCCTCACTCACCGGGGACCTTCATCCCCGCCCCATCACTCTGACTCACCTCGAGAACAGCTACCGGATAAGTATTCTTATTGTGGAAATTGTTTTTACAGGTCAGCAGCGGCGGTGCAAGGACAGGCTGGACACAAAGCTGTGCAAGAAACTGAAGCATATGTGCAGCACCAAGTTTTTCCGAGTCAAGTGTTGCAGGACCTGCCTTAGACGCGACGAGTGAAGTGCAGTGGCTTCCTCCATGACCTTGTGGCAACAGCTAACTGCCCTTCGAGCTCCAGCAGGCGTCTCCTCCCCCTCACAGCACCATCTATTGCACTTGGGGCTTCCGGGCCCTAGACAAGTGACTCTTTGACCCAACAAAAGCATATGAAAAAGCATTCGTGAAAGCATATGTTTGGTGGGGCTCGAAGTCAGGATTTGGTGACCAGTGCGGGCGAGGCAACCAATCTTGTACCCGCGGGTCACTCCTGGACTTGGGAGGGGGGGGGGTGTCACTTGCGGCGTCATCTCACGTTGTGGAGGAGCAGGACTATGCTAGAATGTAGTCACAGGGACCTAGACAGCTGTTTGGAAGAGAAGAGCAGCAGCGGTCACACTGTATAACATCAATGAAATGTTAAATAACACTAAACACGAAGCCTAAGTAAAGGTGATGCCAGTGAAGGTTAAAAGTTAGTGGTGTGAAAACAATTCCTTTACTTGGTACTTATTGCGATATGTACAAATATTACACCTGAAGTGATAACATTGATGCCATATCATGAAATGTGTGTGTAGCAACCTTGCTGTATGTCATCAATGACCATATTAACTAAATTCTTCATGTGTGCCAAAGGTCATGTTGTCCTGTACACAGGTCATGTGTGCCATGACGTGCCAAAGGTCATGTGGTCCTGTACACAGGTCATGTGTGCCATGACGTGCCAAAGGTCATGTTGTCCTGTACACAGGTCATGTGTGCCGTAACGTGCCAAAGGTCATGTTGTCCTGTACACAGGTCATGTGTGCCGTAACGTGCCAAAGGTCATGTTGTCCTGTACACAGGTCATGTGTGCCGTAACGTGCCAAAGGTCATGTTGTCCTGTACACAGGGCATGTACAACATTGACGTGCCAAAGGTCATGTTGTCCTGTACACAGGTCATGTACAAAAACGACGTGCCAAAGGTCATGATGTCACAGAAAAAACTTTAGCTAGCAAATATAAACTTTTGTAATATGATCGCGAGCAATATAACTGTACTCTGTACTCAGTTCACTCCAGAAAGCAGTAAAAGTTTAATGTGTTTAATTTTAATCACAATAGAACTAAGATTCTGATGGAATCATAGCTATTCTTGACGGAGACAGGAGAATGTTTTAGGGTGAGACAATACTAATGTAGTTATCTTCAATACTCATCTACCCAACACATCTCCCATCATCCTGGAAGTGTTGCTTAACTGAGTGTAGTAACTAGAGTGTATATACCCACGTTACACTTCTGTGTACTTGTGGGTGTACATCATCGAGCTGAAGTTGTGTTCAGCCACTCAGTTTAGTGAAGAACACTGTGTATCCCACCAACTGTACATCTACTATAAGGTCAATGACGGAGCTACAAAAATAGCACAACTTACTCATTTTAAGTATTACTGACCCTCAGCCAGCTGGACTCTTATCTTGTTAGTTCTGGTGCTCGTGCTCTGATGGACCTCAGGGTGCTCGTGCCCTGATGGACCTCAGGGTGCTCGTGCCCTGATGGACCTCAGGGTGCTCGTGCCCTGATGGACCCCAGGGTGCTCGTGCTCTGATGGACCTCAGGGTGCTCGTGCCCTGATGGACCTCAGGGTGCTCGTGCCCTGATGGACCCCAGGGTGCTCGTGCCCTGATGGACCCCAGGGTGCTCGTGCCCTGATGGACCTCAGGGTGCTCGTGCCCTGATGGACCTCAGGGTGCTCGTGCCCTGATGGACCCCAGGGTGCTCGTGCTCTGATGGACCTCAGGGTGCTCGTGCCCTGATGGACCTCAGGGTGCTCGTGCCCTGATGGACCTCAGGGTGCTCGTGCCCTGATGGACCTCAGGGTGCTCGTGCCCTGATGGACCTCAGGGTGCTCGTGCCCTGATGGACCTCAGGGTGCTCGTGCCCTGATGGACCTCAGGGTGCTCGTGCCCTGATGGACCTCAGAGAACTAAAAGCCTTTCAGGGTGAATTTGGCCGGCATTGCGTTACCCATCAAATAAATATTTGAATATCACTTCCAATCTATTTGACATCATATGCGTCTGGGCAACGTCTAGGGGCTTCAAGAATGTCCGTAGGCATCTGAGGACGCCAGAGGTGCCTGGGGAAGCATGCGGTCACATGGGGACGCATGCGGTCACATGGGGACACATGCGGTCTGCATATACTAATAGACACATGAGGGACGATAGTGGACGCTTAGATTCCAAGAGCAGATGAGGTCGCATGTTTCGACATTAAAGAAGAAAGAGAATGTTCCCTCCGGGCAAACACGATGATCCCATGTTAGTCAAGCACCGCTGGGCCAGGTTCTCTCCCACACTGGCAAGTGAGAGACTGATGTAAACAAGAGTATCAAGCTCATATCTGGAATGTGGTCGTGTGGAACATTGACTTTAAAACAGAAGACAGGCTTGGAGGCGAAGAGGCTGAAGGCTCTGTGTGGTGTCTACAGGAGGCACCTGAAAGTGGACAGAGAAGACTTTATAGAGGCTATTATAGGAGATAAGGTGGAGATGCAGAGACGAGTTGGTGGACACAAGAAAGGAAGATGGACCTGATCAATTACTGAAGGGGATGTAGGTGGCGGTGGTGGTGCAGTGGGTGGACCACCACAGTGGCAGCGCCGGGGACTCTCTACTCACTAACTGTTGAAGACGTTATAGCATCTACGTTATAGCTTCCGTTATATTTCAATGTGGTTTTCTACACACTTTGATCAGTGTTTCGTGATCACTGTTGTGTATTATAATGAAATAAACAGTGACGTCGATACTCTACAGTCTTGCCGCCTTCACACTCTTCCCATATATATATATATATACGCTATTTAAAATCTTTGTCATTAGTACACTTACCTGCCAACTACCTTTGTTAGTCTGATGCAGTGACTTGCCAGCGATTTGTATATTGACCTGATGCGGTCAAGTTAATTGAGCATTTATTGAAAAATGTGTTTTGTGTGACGGTGCAGTGAGGCGCTCAGAGTGACGGTGCAGTGAGGCGCTCAGAGTGACGGTGCAGTGAGGCGCTCAGAGTGACGGTGCAGTGAGGCGCTCAGAGTGACGGTGCAGTGAGGCGCTCAGAGTGACGGTGCAGTGAGGCGCTCAGAGTGACGGTGCAGTGAGGCGCTCAGAGTGACGTACTTGGTGAGGCGCTCAGAGTGCGGTGCCTGGTGCAGGGCTCAGAGTGTGGTGCCTGGTGCTGGGGTCAGAGTGTGGTGCCTGGTGCTGGGCTCAGAGTGTGGTGCCTGGTGCTGGGGTCAGAGTGTGGTGCCTGGTGCTGGGGTCAGAGTGTGGTGCCTGGTGCAGGGGTCAGAGTGTGGTGCCTGGTGCTGGGCTCAGAGTGTGGTGCCTGGTGCAGGGCTCAGTGTGGTGCCTGGTGCTGGGGTCAGAGTGTGGTGCCTGGTGCTGGGGTCAGAGTGTGGTGCCTGGTGCAGGGCTCAGAGTGTGGTGCCTGGTGCAGGGGTCAGAGTGTGGTGCCTGGTGCTGGGCTCAAGAGTGTGGTGCCTGGTGCAGGGCTCAGAGTGTGGTGCCTGGTGCTGGGGTCAGAGTGTGGTGCCTGGTGCTGGGGTCAGAGTGTGGTGCCTGGTGCAGGGGTCAGAGTGTGGTGCCTGGTGCAGGGCTCAGAGTGTGGTGCCTGGTGCTGGGGTCAGAGTGTGGTGCCTGGTGCTGGGGTCAGAGTGTGGTGCCTAGTGCTGGGGTCAGAGTGTGGTGCCTGGTGCTGGGGTCAGAGTGTGGTGCCTGGTGCTGGGGTCAGAGTGTGGTGCCTGGTGCTGGGGTCAGAGTGTGGTGCCTGGTGCTGGGCTCAGAGTGTGGTGCCTGGTGCTGGGGTCAGAGTGTGGTGCCATCAGAGGCCCAGCAACACCTTCCACTAACAGTGCCAGACTATACAACAGTGCCAGAGTATACAACAGTGCCAGAGTATACAACAGTGCCAGACTATACAACAGTGCCAGAGTATACAACAGTGCCAGACAATACAACAGTGTCAGACTATACAACAGTGCCAGAATATACAACAGTGCCAGAGAATACAACAGTGCCAGAGAATACAACAGTGCCAGACTTTACAACAGTGCCAGAGTATACAACAGTGCCAGGCTATACAACAGTGCCAGAGTATACAACAGTGCCAGACTATACAACAGTGCCAGACTATACAACAGTGCCAGACTATACAACAGTGCCAGAGTATACAACAGTGCCAGACTATACAACAGTGCCAGACTATACAACAGTGCCAGAGTATACAAGTGCCAGTGTATACAACAGTGCCAGACTATACAACAGTGCCAGAGTATACAACAGTGCCAGACTATACAACAGTGCCAGAGTATACAACAGTGCCAGACTATACAACAGTGCCAGAGTATACAACAGTGCCAGACTATACAACAGTGCCAGAGTATACAACAGTGCCAGAGTATACAACAGTGCCAGAGTATACAACAGTGCCAGAGTATACAACAGTGCCAGACTATACAACAGTGCCAGACTATACAACAGTGCCAGACTATACAACAGTGCCAGAGTATACAACAGTGCCAGAGTATACAACAGTGCCAGAGTATACAACAGTGCCAGAGAATACAAGTTTTAATACTGTATTTTCATACTATATTTTCATTTACTGTATTTAATACTATAGTTTCATAAACAAAATTATCTAGTATAAATATTTTTGATATTATTGATACTATCACTATTTTATCTTAAGACAGAATTAGATATATTACAGTATTTCGTTAGTGAGAGTAGAGCAGGTAAACAGACCAACACAAACTGTAGGTAGAGAATAGGAAACTGAGAGAACAAAAGGCAGGTTCCTGTTCTGTCAGCTTCCGTCAGGGCTCAGCCTTGCTAGTTGGTCACTCATGACGGTCACTCATAACAGTGTTGATCACTCATGACGGTCACTCATAACAGTGTTGGTCACTCATGACGGTCACTCATAACAGTGTTGGTCACTCATGAAGATCACTCATAACAGTGTTGGTCACTCATGACGGTCACTCATAACAGTGTTGGTCACTCATGAAGGTCACTCATAACAGTGTTGGTCACTCATGACGGTCACTCATAACAGTGTTGGTCACTCATGACGGTCACTCATAACAGTGTTGGTCACTCATGAAGGTCACTCATAACAGTGTTGGTCACAATAAAGGTAGAATGACTGATAAAAACAAATGTCTTTTTTTTCCTTCATTCTTTTATTCTTGTTAACAAAATAAAGTGCTTGTTAACAGTTAATATAAAATGTACAAAGACCTGGATCAGGACATTTTCAAGAGGAAACTAGATAGTTTTCTTCAAGGAGTGCCGGACCAACCGGGCTGTGGTGGGTATGTGGGCCTGCGGGCCGCTCCAAGCAACAGCCTGGTGGACCAAACTCTCACAAGTCAAGCCTGGCCTCGGGCCGGGCTTGGGAAGTAGAAGAACTCCCAGAACCCCATCAACCAGGTATCAACCAGGTATCAACCAGGTATCAACCAGGTATCAACCAGGTCTTCGTACAAAACCGAGCTAATCGTGACGTGAATACAGTCTGGGACAAAAGTAAACTGAGGTAAATTTATTGTTACGGGGAAGAGAAGCAGAGCCTCATTGAGACGCGCAGGTGACACGCCGTTACTGCTCTCTAGGGTGTCCTTATCTCTCACCTTGCGCTCCTCTACCCTCGTCATGAAGTCTTAACCCCGGTGTGCACCAGCCAGAACACAGCAGCTTCCCTGAGGACTCACTAGGGTAGCGCTCTGTCCCCGGAGGGTGGGAGGTGGAGCGGTAGCTGTCAAGGGTGCCCATACCTGTCCATCTGGGTCACCTGATCATCCTGTTGCTTCGGTAATCATCGGGGCACTAACCTATGCCCATCACAGACGGAGAAGACTAAAGTTCGTTATTTAACATTCCCATATGTTTAATGACTTCACAACACATTAAGACAGTAATTACAGACCTCAGCGTGTCAACTTTAACTCTGCCAGAATCTGCTTTACTCCTGAAATGAGGTACAAAAGTACATGGCATAGTTCTTGACCCTGAACGATATAT